TGGGCCAACCACGACGATCCAGCCAACCCCGCCCACCTGAAGCAATGTCAACTGCTGCCGCTAGCCTCACCCACATGATCATTGTCGTGTGGCCTATCGAAAATGCTTGCAGTCATGGCAGGGTGTGACGACAAAGACCGAAACTGGCGCTCTGGCACAGACGCGCATGTTGGCGAGCGAGGAAGAAGGAGATTAAGAACAGCTGGCCCATGATTGGGTGTTGTCTCTTGTTCTCTGTCTCGCTCATTACAATATATATATATATATATACATATATATATATATATATATATATATATATATATATATATATATATATATATGAGTCAACATATTTTGCTCAAAGCCGCTACATGCCACTAAAAATACCATAGTGAGGTAAGGTATAACAGCTGTGGTACAATCAAGTTGTCTTTTTTCGAGCGTTGCCGAGCTCTCTGGTGATGCGCATCACGTTGGGCTGGGTATTTCAGAGAAGCCCACTTAAGCTCAGAGCGCTTTCGTATTGACGTCGGACTGTGAAGAGCGGGACTCGTGCGCCTTATCTGTTTTCGACATAAACTTTGGTGGCTGCAATCGTCTTCCGACCTTTCAATTGACCTGCCCAGTGTATGCACGTTCACCTCAGAAATCCGCGGCTTGGCTCGCATGAAATAGAGCCCCAAAATTTCGACAATCTGAGACAGTACGTGGCTGCGCCCAATGAATCGTAACGTTATTGAAGTGTGAATGTCTATGAAATCAGGAGAAGTTTTGCGAAAAACAATGACAATCACTAATGAAGCTATTTAACGCCGACTTCTATAGATACGGCACCACTGCCTGTCAGCCTAAAATAACAGGCGGAAAATATTGTGTGTATAGGGTATCCATACCCACCCCTTCCCGAATATTCTTTTTTAGAGATTGTTAAAAAGACGAACGCTTGGACTGCCCGAAGGGGACTAGATGGCACAGTAGTTTTTGACATCAGAACTTATAAATAATACTTTCCAACGAACTTATCAGGGGTCTTTCAGGCCAAAAGGCGTCTCACGAAGCTGTTATGCGCCTGAATGTCCTGATATGGCAGCAGTTATATTTGAAGCTGTATGAGCCTTGGGACAGGAGAAGAAAAAGCACGAGAGCCGGGGGCAGGGAAGAAGAGAAGCATGAAGTTAGGAATAAAGCAGATTAAGATGGACGAGCAAGGCACCGTCCCATTCATGGCCTATCCCCCTAGGTGGGTTGCGCCAAGGTGTTGAGGAACCAACCAACCAACCAACCAAGATGGACGCCAGTTCTATGTTGAAGCTATAATGCTGTTCCGTTCTTTTAAGTAGGAACACTATATTATTTTGGCACAGCCGGTCATCGAAGCGAACATGTGGGTGACTTTCTCGTTGACGAGATCTCCGTAGACGAGATTACCTTCTCGAAGTACCAAGTTCAACATGAAGCAGTGGTGGACCTACCCCGTAAGCTCTGCTTGGAAGACCTTGTGAACCTAGTTGTGAGAAAGGCAGCCGTGGGCACTACTGAACAACGACGGAAAGGTGCTATAAAAGGGAACTTGCGTGCGGGGACCTTCTACAACCTAGTCCTTGAACCTGCGCGTAGAAGAGACTGAGGATCACAGTCTTCAACGGAAGAAGTAAGCTTCTTTTTGAAAGCTCTCCAGCTGCAACATGAACAGATTGTGCAACCGAACCAAATAATGACAACCATTATAAGCTCTCTAAATGCTGAGAAACCACTACCTAAATTCGTAGAGCCTGATGCCTTCCGCGGTATATCTTCAAGTCCAAAAAGTTGGCTTGAGTTCTACGAATATGGCGCTGAAAAAAGAGGTGGCTCTCTGATGAGGATAAAATCACTAAAATGCGTGTTTACTTGAGAAGTTTTGCGCTCACGTGGTATGAAATATGCATTCAGGAAGACAATGGTGACTCTTGCAGTCAGTGGAAGAAGAAACTTTCGACCGCATTTGTAAGCAATACAGTAAATACATAGATGGAGTACAGTTCTTATTTCAAGTCCAAGCAAAGGTTCCGCTTCCTTGTCGAGTGCTTCTTCGTGAAACGCCATCTTTTAAAGGCAGCTAAGCCTTTGCTTTCATCTACGGCCGTAGTAGCCTTAATAACGCAGGAATTACACACAGAAGTCTTGAAGAAGATGTAATTACGGTCATCAAAAAGTCCAGATGACCTCCTGGAGTGTCTTAAGTACTTATCCTCAACATCAAAAACTATCGCAATCACTAATTCAAGCTCCTCTTTCAGTCGAAGTAAAGCGGACTGGTCAAGTTGCGATCAGCGAGAACTGAGTCACCTCGCAAGTAGTACTTGGCGCACTCCAACAGGTCGAGTGAATATTATCGACACTGAAGCTCAGGAGGATTAGACAAAAAATGTAATAGATGAGGGTGATCAGTCCCACCCGGTGACTCCAAATGAGACTGTTTATTTAAGTTGCTCTAGCCTACTTCACATTCCCGTCAAAGTAGGAAACAAGCCAGTGATGGCTCTCGAAGACAGCGGTGCCTCTCTGTCTATTACAAATGCTAAGATGGTGGATGACCGTCGCATGCATAGTGGGAGAGTCCTACAGGTACAAGGCTATAATGGAAAAGTAACGTTACATGATCAGTGGGCCTTTGTAAACATCCTGTTCCAGGGTCAGAAAATAGAGAGCGAAGTGTTGGTGGTAGAGGGGGTAACGTACGACTTTTTGCTATCAAAACCAGATATAAAGAAATTGAAGATCAACGTATACTGGGACGATGTGGTTCTAGTCGAGGCCTTAGCAGGGAAGGAAACATATGCAGTTGCTCTATCATGGTTGATGATACGAAGCAACACGGTATAATCCAAAGAATTCGACGAGGTGAAGCTGTAGGAAGGCTCCGGACAACTGGTTTTTACTGAAGGTTGGTATCAAGTCCCACGAACACTTGTTTGCATAGTCCTTTATTTGTATCACGATAGCCCAGAATCTGGAGCACACGACGAATTTTGGCGCACTTATAACAAATTAATCAAGATATTTACATTGCCTCACATGAAGAAAGCCGTCAGTCAGTGCGTTCGTTCCGGCAATGTGTGTCAAGTACACAAAGTCAAGTATAAACAGCCTACGGACGCTGTGATACTACCTTGCCACTTGCACGTGCCTTTCGAAGTAGTTCACCTGGATTTCGCCGAACTAAATTAGAAACGGAAAAGAGTCAAGGGAACTGAATGTTTTCTTCTGGCCATAGATGAATGCACGAGGATGGTGGCGGAACGAGCAGGAAAATAAGATGCAAATAGTGTCATAACTCTCTTCGAAAGAGATATGTTAAAGACTACACGGTCAATCGTATGCAATAACGGCCCTGCGTTTAAGAGCGAAAAGCTAGCAAGATGGGCTCGGCATCACATTATATCGATCAAGTTCTGTGCTTCATACCATCCCGCAGCGAATGGGTTGGCAGAACGTGCCATACGGGACGTGAAACACTACATCAATATGTACGATATATTTCCTGCTGAATAGAAATGTTCTTTGGAAGCCGCCGTGAAACATCATAATTTATCCTATGCAAGTGGATCGGGGTGCAGTCCACAGTACGCTTCTTCAGGAGAAACCCCTATTTTGCAGGCATACCTCGAGTTCAGACTCTTGGGAAACACCAAGATCGTCGAGGAGAATCATGAAAAATCGCAAGATGTGAGATACCAAAAACGAATGAAAAAGAATTTCGACAAAAGGCAGCGAGCAGCCATGCCAGCCATTCAATTCACTGACCTCGTAATAGTGAAGAAAGGCATAAAAGATGACAGTGCCAAATTTTACGGTCCTTACCATGTGACGAAGACAGTCACCCAGAACGGAATTACTGGTGAACGCAGATCACCAGTAAATCTGGTGAACGCAGATAAGTTGAATGTGCTTCAATGGACAGTTCGCAATAATCTGCAAGTCGGCTTTCCTGTAAGGCTTGTTTTCAAACCAACAACTCTCGTTCACAGGCTGCTTTTCTCGCTCATTCTGCAGCGAAGGCACGTGAGCATTGGAGTACAATAAAATCTCACCTCTCTGAATTTCAGCGATGGCACGGAGCACGCGACTACAACACAATGAGTGAGCAAAGCAGTCTGTGAACGAGAGTTGTTGGTTGGAAAGCAAACATTACAGAAAAGCCGCGCTGCAGATTATTGCAAACTGTCCATTGGAAATGTCTTCAAATATTACACCAGGAGGGGTAATCAAAAGAAACCGGGAAAGATGAAGCGGTATGAGCCTTGGGACAGGAGACAAAGAAAGCACGAGAGCCGGGGGCAGGGCAGAAGAGAAGGATGAAGTTAGGAATAAAGCAGATTAAGATGGACGCCAGTTTCACACTGAAGCTCTAATGCTGTTCCGTTCTTTTAAATAGGACCACTACAATGTTTATGACAGCTACTGTCTTGGGTCACATAAATGATTGATTGATATGTGGGGTTTAACGTCCCAAAACCTCTATATGATTATGAGAGACGCCGTAGTGGAGGGCTCCGGAAATTTAGACCACCTGGGGTTCTTTAACGTGCACCCAAATCTGAGCACACGGGCCTACAACATTTCCGCCTCCATCGGAAATGCAGCCGCCGCAGCCGGGATTCGAACCCGCGCCCTGCGGGTCAGCAGCCGAGTACCTTAGCCACTAGACCACCGTGGCGGGGAGTCACATAAATGTCACATAAAACGTTATCTTGTGGAGATGTCTCACAAATGCAGTTTACTTGAAGCCGTACGGTGTATCGGCACATTTCTTTATGGCTGATTGGTTCAGTCAGCAGTTGTTCTTAGCTTATCATGAGGCTGTTTGATTAGCATAGCTCATTAGTTATCCCGTAATTATCGATGAAATGAACGACAATTATCAATGATGGCGAGTGTCTTCAGAGACAATTGTCTTTCCACTGAGAGGGTACAGTAGCACCATGACCAAACCATTATTAGGCATGTAACACTTCACTGCTTCTAGCATGACTCACCTCGATCAGAACTTTTCCAGTGTGTTTAACTGCAGCCGCAAAACGGAACGCTTTTTCGGCCTCCTCTCGGGTGAACGTGTAGGGCATCAAAGGTTTGACCACTCCCTTGTCGATTCCTTCGAGAATAAGCGATCTGAGGTGGCGCTTCAATGCAACGGAACTTGGATCAGGGTTCAACAAGCTGTCCAACATCACCCCGTGGAAGCTGACGTCCTGGAGAAACAACGACATTCCAAGATTTTTGTCCTCGAACAGGTCGAACTTGCCGATCTCCAAAAAGCGACCGCGCGTTGCCAAGCAGCGAACGCTGGCCAGCAACTTATCGCCGGCCAAAGAATTCAGCACCAGATCCACTCCTGAAACAGCGGGTTGAATAAAAGGTAAAGATAAGGATCTTGTTACGTTCGCATTGTTGCAGATACACGTGATAGAATTTTGAAATAAAAAGTTGGCTAAACGATAAGGTGATAATAGGAGCAAATTCACAATACGTACATTGTGCAATCTTTGAAAACGAGCCAAAAAGAGGTCCTGATGGAATAACCATCGCTTAGTATGTAACATATACCTAGTATTTATCACATACTCGATACCAAATACCTGGTTTGTTGCGGTGGCAAGTATTTAGATATAAAATCCAACCAAGGACTTAAGCGATGTTTAAAATTGAAAAAAAGCAAACAAAATCAGACAAAGTATTGAGAAAAAAAAAACGTTTGTTATCCCACAGACTAGACTAGTAAACGCTACCGACAAAAGTTGTTTGGAACAGTATGGGTGTGTTATCATTAAAAACGGGGTGTCTTGTTCGTTTGAGAATGATTTATAGAGTGCATATTGCCCACCAATGTGCAGGCATTAAGCACTTGATGATGCAAAGGATGAAGATTGTAAGGCAGCGTATTAATAAACTCTTGCTTTTAACTCCATAAAATTGGCATATTATCAGTCGGCATCCAACACTTAAACATTGAAAATTCATTTTCACCACCTGGAGTACATTTGATAAACTTGAGGAGCATGCTTAAAAAGCATTTGCTTGTGCCTTCTTAGCTCCGCTGCTTTCCAATATCAGAGATTTATTGTAGAGCAAGACCTTCAGATCCTGAGCGAAAGCTATCAGAAACATATACAAATGAACGCATGTTGTCTGAGCTCTGTGTAATGTGGTAGCGGAAAGTTTTCGAAACCAGAATACTGAAAGTAATTCCGTTATAGCGAACGGCGTGGTCATGGCTTCGCCAGACGTGCAAGCCGCAAAAGGGTGCTCTCTCATCCTGCACCTAGTCTTGAGTCTTTCTGCAGACGGCAAGATACCATCGGTAAGTGAGCATTGTGTGCAACAGACTGTGTTGTTTTTTATTCATTATTTATGTAGTTATTTGCTGTCAGCTCTTGTGTTCCAAGTGTGTCGGTGAGGTACCCCGCATGTTAAGCTTATTTCACTCTTCGAGTGGTGATAGAAATGTCCCTGCACAAAAGACCGTTCCACCAAACTTAGTAGAGTGAATATGCGATGTCTAGAGGTACATGAAGCATTACCTTATAATGTGTCCAATTGCCCACCTGTGAAACGTTCGATATGCTAGCAGCGTATGAAAGTTGTGTACGCCCATAATTAGGGTAATCGATGAGAATATTACGTCCATATGCAAATTATGGCAATTATTTAGGCTTCAATATCCAAACGTATACCCTTGTCAGCACTAAGATTTTGCAACAGTCACCGCGAATTGCTTGTATCGCTTGACTACGAAAACAGACGAGCTCACCCCGGCCTTCAGTTTCACGCATAACGTGTTGTTCGAACGACAGGTCTCGGGTATTTGAAATGTGTCTGTCTTGCAACGTTGGAAACCGCTTCCGGAGAAATTCTCTCTTGTCTTGAGACCCTGCGAGGCAGAAAAATAGTTTCGTAGAAATAACACTCCTTGTACTAAACCCATAAGTGGTATTCTTTTACAGAAACTTGCACTAGCATTGAATGAAAAATCAAGGCAGCTTAACACCTGTGGTACCCAGCCTGAAAGAAGTGCTGAGCTGGCCAGCCTTCTTGGCGTCTCTTTCGTTTTTTTTCCTTTCCTTTTATCCTTCTTTCGTTCTTGCACTCATTATCTTTACCTCTGTTTTTAACCACCGAAAAGTCTACAGCAGCCGTTTTTCCAAGAGCTATGGACAAAAATTTTCATCAGGAACTGGAACGCGCTTTTTTAATTTCTTCTCTCTATCATCGTCACATTTTTGCTTTTCGGCTTCACTCCTAAAACACGTGCGCTAATTTTACAGTGCGGAACAAAATAGATTTAGTTCGAAAAACAACGATTACGAATAGAGGATGACAAAGGGAGTGTGATTAGAAGGAAGCCAGCGAAACAAAGAAAAATAAAAATTGCAAGGAAAAAAATTCTTCATGGTGCAAGAGTGGGAACGGCGTACCCAGACCATAGCGGAACCATGTGTAGTAGTATGTAAGGCAGGAGATGGAAAAGGAGAGACAAGGGTTCAGTCCCTGGAGATGAAAGAAGGGAGATAACTGAAATAAACAGGAATCGCGGTGGTGTTGGCTCTGTGATTCTCGCTGTCGTTAAACATTTGGCGCAGCCGTCGACAGGATTCTGTGCTACGCCCCTGAGCAGCCAGAACTTCCAGAGGACAATGTGCCTCTACATCGCTGAGAGCCTAGAAGATGATGTAAAGACGGTGAGCGGTGTATGGTCGGTCTATGGTGGAAGTACGACCTGTTCGCGTGAGTTCTGAGTGTTCGGTGACACCTTGCGGAAAATGAATGATCACGAAGTTGAAGCGGCCGCAGATCATACATAAGGGCGGAGTTGTGAAGACAGGCTACAGAAAGGTAGAATTGCGAAAGTGCATATGGCTATCACTGACAGAGCGTTCTAAAAAGTAATGAGTTTTTTGAAACAGTAATAGAGCCGCAGGAAGAAAAATAGCAAGTGGTAACAACATCAGTTGGAGCTTATAACGCGAACATGCACTGACCGCTACCAAAGGCACCAAGAGAAACAATTAGGCCAAATGCCCACGATACATCATCAACACTGAGTGCCCAGGCATGGCGTGACTTACATGAATATGCTTGCGATCGAAATTCTTGGCAACACAATTGTGGTAAAGTAATGAACATACCGTTGTACTTGGAAAGCTTCAAGAAAATGTGGCACGAGATGCAAGCAACAGCAAAGGCCGAGCATACTTGGGCTGATTGAAGGCAGAATTTTTAGTCAACCCTCTCTGAAAACAGGTTTCAAAGTTGGGATCGTGCATTAGTCTCGAAGTGCTTTTCTGGTTCGGTTGTAAACTATTTTTTTTAAATAGACGCAATTGCATGCAGCAGATACTGCTCTCTCCTACTCATCACTTCTGTGTCTAATAACATTGGGGTTTACCATACGCATACAGCAACATATTCATCTTGGAAGAGCTCAAACGCCCGAGGAGCTGCTACAGGTCATGAAGCTGTCCGTTCGACAGCCACATTCTACGGCGACAGCAGTGAGCATGACAGAAACGCTTCCAGCTCCTGGATGGCGAGATATGGTTAGCAAGCTGTATTCATCTGAGAAATCGAGACAGAAAAAGAAGCATGCAATATTCAAAAGAACGTATGACGATATCTTGTTTCAAATACAAAAAAATTTTGCTTACTGACCACGCCAAGCTCGTGTACCTGGGTACGCAAGTTAATGAAAAGGATGTGAAAGCTCTTGTTGACAGTGGAGCGTCTATTACTGTAGTCAACAAAAGCGTCAATTCCGAGTTTAATTAAGAAAGAATTGTCCTGTCATCATTTACGGGAATGATAGAAAGAAACAAGTGCATGATGAATGGGTTGAAATCCTTATTACAAGTCAAGGTGGTTGAAGGTTGGAAGTAGACCCGAAGCGCAAGCCGTAAGAAAGTGTGCGTGTGCCACCTCTCGTTTAGTCCTTGGAATGTCCACTGAATGGCGGTGCTTCTATATGGGGAATATATAATAAAAAGTTGCCAGATGGTGGGACTTGGAGTGTTGAATAGATGGACGAACGGGCACACAGACAGATGCATGGATGGACGCATCAACCGACGCAGGGGCGGATGCATGAACGAATGCAGGGACGGGCGCACGAACAGATGCATGGACGGTCACACAGACGGACGCATGGACGGACGAATGCTTCACCCCACTCTCCATCACTCACTCCGTGGATATCCTGCCATTTTTTTGTTTCCTTTCCTTTTATCCTTCTTTCGTTCTTGCACTCATTATCTTTACCTCTGTTTTTAACCATCGAAAAGTCTACAGCAGCCGTTTATTCAAGAGCTATGAACAAAACAAGAGCTATGAAAAGAAGAGAGCAGTGTTTAGTCCTTCGAGGTGGAGGAAGAGGGAGAACTGAAATAAGCAGGAATGGCGACCGTGTTGGCTCTGTGATTCTCGGTGTCGTTACATAATATAGTAGAGCAAATGTGTAGGAAAGAGAAGTGAAGGTGAAGAGATAGCATGTGAGGCTGAGGAAAAAAAAACCGAATGCAAGAGTGTAAATCATAGCTTAAAAATAATGACGGGGAAATAGAATGACCAAAACGCTGGAAAAAATGAGATGAAGACAATTCATAAAAGAGAAAGAGGCTATGACTCTGATGGCTGAGCAACTACAGCGAACAAGAGAAAGCACGAGAGATTTTCAAGGGGCCGAAGTGTCTTCTTGAAACGGGACTCAAACCCGCGTACCCACGTTCTGAAAGCAAGCATTTCAATCAGTCGGCTATTGTCCTATTCCCTCTCCTATACAGATACGTTAGCCGAACATCTCATAGCATTCGACAATATAGTATAGCAAGAAGGTAAGAAAGGATACTGACGGTGTGGTGCAGTGAAACAAAAAGCGCAGCATAAAAAATAGAGAAATAAGAAGCACGAAAAAGAGACCAACGAAAAAAATAGATAAAAAAGCAAGAAATAAGAAGAAAGAAAGCTTGAACGAGAAATGAATAGATAGAGAGCAACGAACGAATTCCCACACAGAAACCCAAACATAAAAAAATTGAGACGGGAAAATAAAGAAACAGAAAATGATAATAATTAGCGATGCAGCAATAACCAGGGTTAGCTAGGTTATCATCGTTGGTGTTCTTTTAGCATTGTGCCTTCAATGCAAGGTACAGTAACTTTTTGAAAAACCTCTCTCATGTACCATTTATATTTAGAAAGAACTTCAAAAAAGCTCTTGAAACCCGGTAGTACTTTAACGCTCTTATAGTAGATAAGCAGACCTCAAAACGTATAAACTACTACCTTCTGCACTCTGTTAAACCACCCAAGGCCACAAATCACGTAGCATATTCTTAAGCACTGCTCAGAAAGGTTGTATGTTGATAGAGGATGAACCATCTACCCCTTGTTCATTAGGGAGAATGTATTCTGTTACTTTAAAAAGCAGCACATTTAAGAGCACTGTTGAGAATCTCACTGATTTTTGCACATTCAACTCACCTACAGTGGTGAATACTGTGCAGCCCATGGAAAGAGCAATTGCGATTGCAGCCTGTCCGACGCCTCCACTACCACTGTGTATGAGGACTGACTCTGCCGGCTTCATAGCTCCTCGTACAATTAGTGCGTAATACGCAGTCGAGTATGCCACGGGGACAGTGGCAGCCTGTTCCATGGTCCAGGCTGCAGGAATTTCCCACATCATATCCGGATCAGCAACGACGAAACTCGCTATGGACTGGCCTTTGACACCTCCCATGACACGTCGTCCGTTCCTGTCGCGGCCAGAATACTCCATGCCGAGGAAGGCGTCTCCTGTGACATTGTCACCTAGGCGAATATTTTACAATAACTTGAGCGTAGCTATTTTGCTTGAAAGCCCACATGGTCCATTTGTATTCCACAGTTTAGAAAAAAAGAACTTGTAACAGACTTATGCGGAATGTCATATTTATGCTTTCCTTTTTGATTAGCGAATCATGCAGAAGAGAGGCAAAAAACAAATCTGCAAGCATTTTCATTCTAAGCAGTTTCAACAAACAATAAGCAAAAGTTATAAAAGGAGTGTTATTGTAATTTCAACACTCATATGTGAAGAAATAAAAATGTCCAACTACGTGTACTAAACCCATTCATTGAAGTTATGAAGAAGATTTGCCTTAGACTTTTTGGAAGTCTTCTAGGCGGAATGCTATAATGCAGAGGACTGCACTTTTCTGCTTTATAGTATTTTGTTTTTCAGACGGCGATCATCAACAGGGACACGCGCCACCACCATAAGTTGAACTCACCAATAAACCCTTTGAAACTACACGACAAGGATGAAACAGCGCCTTTGAAAAAAATAGGTCCTCCTATTGAAACGTCGGCCACCTAGTTTGAGGCACTTCCACTGTTCATCTTACGATTACCCCACTATGTTGTTTCCATCTGTCGGTTCCCATCAAGATTTTGAATTCACTGGCAAGTGGTAAACGACTTGGAAAGTCGAAGCGGTACCGCGATACAATAGCGCATTTGCGTACTGTATTTACGTAACCTGCTAAAAGATTCTACTGCCACAAATGACCAGGAGACAAGTGAAGCCAGACACACAGGCGACAACTTGCATAGATAAGAATCCCTGGTGCGACCTCAATAATATGACGGAATTTAATCAATACCGCTCTAGTGTGTCCAGTGCAGTTGTGTCAGATATGTCCGGAACTAACTTTTATTCTATAGCTGCTTAAACTTTAAGTACAAAAAGACATACTAAGGACCACCTAAATAAATTAGCGCAGAATTGAATTTAACTATTCTGACAAGAAAATCCTCCTATGGTCACTAAGCAGTACACCAGGAGCCTTATATTGCAGAAATTTGATGTGAAGAACGAAGTCAGGAACTTTCGCAGCTGTCCCAATACTCACAGAGGTTGACTAGGCGCAGCACATCAGTGGTATACGGTGGTCACTATTGACCGCTTGCCAGTAGGCTTGACGAGAAGAGGCCAGCAAAGGTCTAGGCCTATAATATTTCCCTTTTAATTACGAAAAGCACACATATATTCGCTTCACTGGCCTTCCTTTAATGACCAGATAGAACGTTACAGAATTTGTTTGTGAAGCCATCTTATATTTGAGGTATGTGTGGCTTGTCTCATTTTTTTTGCGTGAGCGTTATGAGACAGAACCGCTCGGCTTAGATTTGAAGTTATAATACCAGGCTATCCTTACAGCAGAGGCCACTGCCAAAAAAAGGGCTCCTGGCTTCTGGTTGAAACGTCAGTGGAAGGATATCAGTCTTCCATTTCATTGGTCTACCACAGTCTACACGGTCAGCCCGCCGATCACGAATGCAGTACTTAAGTGACAATGTCATCTGATGAGGTCACGATGACGTCATATGGTGACGTCATCACACAGTCATTGCTTTTCGTTTGGCTCTCATTGATGCCGCTGACGCTGACAGTCTATTTTAGCATTTGATGAAGAATGTAAGGCTTCCACCTTACAACATAAATGTTTTGTGGTTATGGGAACTGCCCTATATAAGCGAACCATTACCTTGCAAGAATCTGTTCTAAGCGGCGAGTTATCTCCGCTCAAGTGCGAATAGCTCGGGCAAGTTAAAGAAAAATATACTCACCACGCGCAGTGTCCAAGTTCACTTTTCCTGTAGCAAGCATGATATCCCGGAAGTTGATAGCACTGTAATAAACGTCGACGTAGAGATCCTCTCGGCCAATTTTATCACAAGGTGAGAGATAGGCCGTTGGCGACTCGTACCACTGCAGACTCGACAGGTCTCCGCGAGTCTCGACTTCTAGGTACGCGAACTGCGTTTTTATCTTCGCCTTGGCATCTGCAAATTCAATAATTACGAGTGCATATAATGATAGGTTTGTGGCGCGGACATGTATGTAAAGAACCATAACAAAGTATGATACAAACACACTATTATGTGCAAACGTAGTAGAAGTGGGCACTTTTTTGTATTGCTTGTTTCGGACATGCTCGACTAGTACAAAATAAATGCCTATTTACAACAAAAATGCATGACAGAAAAGCAAGGTATCTTGGTTGTAAAAGGGGCCTAAATGAACCTAATTTTTCTGTATAGTAATATCTATCTTTACACATCAAATTTCTGTGTTGACGCAAATCGTGGTCAGTTTCTATCAAAGGACAAATAACTCTGCTTGCTCTGGCGTATATATCTGTTATAAGCCCTCAGCTGGTAGCTTCGCTTTTTATCTACTTGCTCGTACACTGCAGTTACTGACTTGGTGTAATGGTGAAATTTGGGCAGGTGTTCTTCCACCTGCCCCATAAGGTCTGCTGATCAAACCAGCAATTAGTTCCATACGTCATGAATTCATTCAGATAGCGAGGAGCAAAGGCGTTGCAGACGTCTATGTGCTACCTGTGGCAACAAATGACGAGTATGATGCTAGTAATGCGAATGTTACTGCTCGTTCTCTACACCTATTCACTATAGTACCTAAGATTGCACACTATTGATCAGGTTGAAAAAAAGCAATTTTATTTAAAAGTTTTTAAAAGGAAAACTCTGGATTGAGTTTATCTGCTAACCTAGGCCGCCTAATGGAATAGCTTCAGTGAACGTCACCAATCGCTATTATTACTTGGCCATTAATGTTCTTAATTTATCCCACCAACGCGAGTGACAATAAGTGTACGGGTTTTTTGTTGAAAATTTTAGAAAACATTTCAAAGCACGGGTTTCTTAAGTTTGTGGTGGCAGACAGCAATTTAGAGGCTTTGGTGAGGCTTACACGCGCTCGTTGTGCTTATGTGGAACAGTAACTTCTAGCTATTATAAAAAACAGCGTAGGCATATAACTCTTTCTTTAGAAGCGAAAAGCGAATGTTTTAGTAAGTCCTAAGGAGAATATGAGAACGCATTTCGATAATCAGAGCGCCAAACACGCCGTAACAAATTGAAACAGATGAAGATACAAAGTTGGACACTCACTGACGGCGCGGTGCCGGTAGGATCCCCAATAGCCATCCTGGTGGACGTTCATGACCAGGTCTTTTTCTACTATGTCTTTATAGGCTCGGTTGGTTAAGCTGAAGTTGGCTGCGCTGTTGAAACCTTTCGAATTGGCATCAAATACACAGCTGTGTGAAATGCAAGTTAGAAGTCAGGACATATGAGATATCATTACCCTTTCTGTTATTTAACTGAAGATGCCGTGATGAACAATGCACATTGTCAGCTAGCACGCAGTGAAACAATGTGGCGATGCGTGTTCAGCTTTATGTTTTTAAGTGCACCTCAACTCGTGAGTATACACTCCATTTGGCAGTCCGTCAGCTTTGCTATCATGTTGCAAATAATGAAGCAATTACTGATGTGCAAGCCTTACAGCTGTTGGGAAACGCATAACAGTTAGAATTGTCAAAAGCCAAACTACTTCGTGGTGTGTAACTGAACTAACCTTAGACCAAAGATGCGCCGAAACATTCGTTCTACAGTAGTACACCTGTTGCGTAGGTATTATCACATAATTATCCCTCGCTACCGTGGAAAAGGTAAGGTAGGTTACTAAACCACATGTTTCGATCAGAAGGAAGCTAAAATACGTTACGCTAAACACATGGTACTGCAATATATATGAACCTCAAGGAGTAGTCTCTCTAAGTATCTGATATCCAGTGATGCACAGCGCGTACGCCATGGCGTAATGGCCCATTCAAGCGCGCACTTAGTAGAGGGGTTAAGTCTTGCATTACCGTCAAGGATCCAGCTGATGTCACTCTGGTTGTAACTGTTGACCAAGTGAAAAGCAGCGCTTTCCTACAACTGCAGCGCGAAAGTGCATATGTCGAAATAAAAGCATACTTTCAAGCATCGACAAAGTGAAATAGCAGCCCCAGAAGCTCTCTCTGCGTTGCAACAATTTTTTGAAAGCAGCCTTCTCTATACGTAGTCTATAAAGACGATTTTCAGTTTTCCTTGCAGTGATCGCTACCTAAAAAGTTTCTATGATGCATTGCTACGGGGAAGCTTCTTATATATGTCATTTTTTATTTAAACATAGCCTATCAGATGGTATGATGAACTCTTTACATGACAGCTGGTCGAAGAATAAATTTCAGAAACGAATTCACATCGCGGCCTGCACATTTTCACAGACTTCACAGCCTTCACATCCTGCACATCTACGTAAAAGGAACAAAGCAACCCGCTGAGATAAATACGCACCGAATGCGACCACCAATGTTCTCCTTCCGAAGGCAGTTGGTTAAACCAAGGATGCCACTTGTACCGGCGTCTTCAGCGAGTAGCCATATATTATCTCCTGTGGGCTTCGTGTCATGTTCTGCTGCTTTTTGCTTCAAAGACTCAACCCAATCAAACTGCCCATTTTGCACACTGATAACTGCCTGCTTGGTGACATCGACAGCTATGGTAACTTTCCTGAACAGCAAGAGTGTTGAGAAGTTGTTCGACTTGAGGACAACCATCCGAAACCCGCGACCACTGAACACTGCAGTCATTGCCTCCTCAGTGTAAATTCGAAAAGGGACCCCACTCATTTGAGACAACAAGATTTCAGCTGCAGTTAGAGTGGTCCGATGAGATAGGAGAACGAAGCCGTGTTCTTTGCAATGCGAGGCCATCGCTCCTGCCAAATCATTCAGATCACCAGAAGAATTGAACATGCTGCAGAAAGCTACCACTAAATCAGCCCCGAGTTGTTTTTCTCCCGAGGCCAAAGAACATCCCCCTGAGACCTGCGGCTTGTTTTCGGGCACTTGTTGCGACGCGAGGCTGACGGAGTTCACGCTTGACACCGCGTACTCTGTGTTGAGGCACACATTGTACATGGAGAGCAGTGCAGATACCCGAGGACGCATGGGTGCTACACTCTTGTCACTCGCGATCTCGAGCACAGATAGCTTATTGGAGCTTGTATTTTCAACAACTACATGAATGACATCTCGTAGGGGGTCTTCCTCTAGGAGTGCAGTGCTCAGTATATCTTCTTCGAGGGAATTGGCGTTGGACAGCAATGCCGATTGCAGTGTTGAAGCCAGTGTTGCAGGATCAAATGCCTCTTTCTGCATTGCAATCAGGAACTGTAGTAGGCTTTGATTATGCTCTATGTTCTCTACATAGTGGATGAGGAGTTTTTCTGTCACTTCCACAGAACTGTTCAAGGTGGCCTCGAAATGGCTTGTTTCTTCCACGCTGAACTTCTGCAAGCCTCGGCTGATACAGTTGCATACGCCAGCATATTCATGTAAAAGTTCTTGTCGACGATGACGGGCTATTTCATCATCCATATACGGGACAAAGCGGTGTTCTTCTATTATTGGGATGTGGGCTACACGCCGCCGTGGCATTGTGTACATTTTTGTGCCCTGTACTTCAACGCCACCAGCACGGCGTAAGTTGAGGTAGGAGTCGTAGATTAGGTGGAGTACCTGTACACATACAAGGGGAGGGGGAGAAGGAGGTGTAATGGGACATACTTTGACAAAAACAAAATGTTCTGCTATATTTTTAATCGTTTCCAGTTCTTATGTAAACAGACATACACTGCGAAAATTTTTGTTCAGCTGCTTTGTTATCATAATCTATGAAATGTTTCATTGCCAAGTTCACGTTATTGGTAAATAAATTCATTTTTATTATTGGTCTCAGAAGTAGTAGAAAGGACTATTTACCGTGTATTATGTAGTTGCACATTACAAAAGTTGTCTACATTGTGTCCCTACTAATTATTGGGTGGGAGTTCTGGCCCATAGAGTTCTCTTCGAAATTTTTAAAGGAAAGAGAGAAATAAAGATGCAAGGAAAGTTAGGGAGGTTACTCAGACGCACGTACGGTTTGCTACCCTGCGCTGTGAAGGGTTCAAGGGGAGAAAAAAGATAGGCGAGAGAGAAGAAAGGTACACACAATCACGAGCACACACGGAGGAGCACACGCAGTTTACAGGTGGTCACTCAGGTTTGTTGTCTTTAATTAATGCAATAGCGCTTTAAGTCCTTTCTGCGCAATTTAGGCACACGCCCAAGGTCCCAGAATCTACTGCACAGAGAATCGCCTATAGTCAAGTTGGTTCAAAACCATCTGAAGCTGGCATCGCTGCGTGTCGTAGCAAGAGCAGCTGCACAGGACGTGTTCGATGGTCTCTTCAGCTACGCATGAGTCGCACGTAGAGGTGTCTGCTATACCGATACGGAAAGAGTACACCTTTGTGAAATTTTCGAAAGATTTTCATATAATTGTATACTTTCAGCAAATGTCATGTTGTTCCTATCTTGCTAAGAAAAATACCAGAGGATTTCACTTAAGACAGACGCTATAATCGTGTTATTAGGTATCTTTTTGCAGGCAAAACTCTTCTTCCACTCCTAAAGCCAGTGAAGTCAAATAAAACTAGCAATTTCAGCCTCTAGACGCTAGAGAGGTTCACAAAATTAGCAGATGTCACATTTACCAATACCATGAATGTCTTTTGTATATTTCCGAGCATATAATTGTGAGAAGCTGATCGCTAAAGTGCGTGTTTCAGTGTGTTTTCGTTTGTCATTTTGTAGACTCACTGATTGGTTTGAAATGTTTAGGGAAAAAATTGCTGATTTATGTTTACTCTTCCGGTTGAAGTAATATTGATAGACGAGGTAGTTGATATTAGTGCATCGTAAGTTATTTTTAGCGTGAACTGGCACAGGGACAAAGAAAAGAAGGGTACAACACTAGCGCTACTATCACCAGAAGGTTTTATTCAGAAAAAGACCATTTATATTTCCATGTAGTCGCCCTCTGTCCATGCGCACCATCGTAATTTCACAACCATGTCTATCCACTGACCCTGAAATTGTGTGAGCCACGTTGGTAAAAATTTTTACATATCTGCGAAACCTGCACAACTGTTGGGGAATTGCGTCCAAAAGGCACAATATGCTAATGGGAACACGGCTATGAAAGGCTTTAAAAGCTTCCACCCTTTGGTGCTCATTAGTCTGCACTCATATCAGAGTACACTGCACTTTTACGTTTTTGTTGTAGGCCCGTGTGCTCAGATTTGGGTGCACGTTAAAGAACCCCAGGTGGTCTAAATTTCCGAAGCCCTCCGCTACGACGTCTCTCATAATCACATAGTGGTTTTGGGACGTTAAACCCCACATATCTATCTATCACTCTTACGTTTTGCCTTCATCTAAATGCGACCGCAATCAACGCAATTCAACCCCACCACTTTGAAGACAGCAGTAGAGCATCATCGCCACAATATGTATGTAGTGGTTCGGTTATAGCAGCTGTTCACCTGATGTCGTGTGTGTCGTTAGCGATCGCTATTGACCGTAATATTTGTAGCGGAAAGTTTTGAGAAAATGGGATGACGTTTACAATGTTTTCAAAAAGCGCGACATGTTAGAACCACAACAAAGTAGTTGACAGCACCATAGAGTGAATAAGCTTTTCGAGAATGAAAATGAATGTCTAAAATATTTGTTTCTGTTGTAAGTGAGCAATGATGTTGGCCTGTTTTACACTAGCCTGTGATAAATGAATGAACATGTTTGCTTAGCACCTTTAAATGAAAAAAGGGCTTACAAACCGTTTCGCTTAGCGTAGTCTAAGCTATAAAAGGTCAAAAGCGATAACTAATTCACTTCACTCTGCTTGAAATGAGGGATGTCTTCATGTGACCGCTGAGAGCTCTAACTACAAAATGGCAGCCCGTCTAATATATTTTGGGGGGCCTGTGAGGTACTGGTGCATCAAATAATAGACAGAAGGCCAGTAGGTTTACGAATCGGTCACGTCAGAAAACTCTGAAGTCCACAAGTGATTACATGGTGGCAGGCTACACAATGCCAGAAATACGCGGGTTTGATCACGGCCAGAATAATCTCAATACAATGGAGACAAAACAATTGAGCTCTGTGGAATTCCTGATTTTCGAGCACGTCGAAAAGATCAGTAGGCTCAATTCACCTGAAGTCCTTCACTACGGTGCTTTTAACAGCCTGAGCCTCGTCGGGACGTTGATACCTCAAACCAAGCAACCAGCTTTACTCTACAGCGACTGCCAATCCTTTTTTTTTAGGACGAAAGTGCTTTATGGTGAGTATCACTAAGACTTCTACGACACATTTCCGTAACGGGAGTGAGGTCAAAAAATACGCACGATTAGAAGGCACCAAAAAAAAAACCCTTTCTTGATTGGCAGTCGAACCCAGGAGCTTGGAGCTCATGGCAAAAGATGCGCCTGAAATGTTATCCACTGTGCCATGGCCGCTTTTTAAATACGAAGCATTTTTTAGCGAACTTCTATCTATCTATCTATCTATCTATCTATCTATCTATCTATCTACCCAGCCGCCTACGACTTCTAGCTCTCCTGGCCGTTTCGATTATTTGATTGATATGTGGGGTTTAACGTCCCAAAACCACTATATGATTATGAGAGACGCCGTAGTGGAGGGGCTCCGGAAATTTAGACCACCTGGGGTTCTTTAACGTGCACTCAAATCTGAGCACACGGGCCTACAACATTTCCGCCTCCATCGGAAATGCAGCCGCCGCAGCCGGGATTCGAACCCGCGCCCTGCGGGTCAGCAGCCGAGTACCTTAGCCACTAGACCACCGCGGCGGGGCCCGTTTCGATTATGGTAATAATACAAAACTTGGTATGACATAACATTACTGTATGAATAACATAATTGACTAGTCATAACGTGAAAATCATAACATGCATGTAATGAATGTCAGGATATAAATTTCTTAGTCTTGTAGCTTTATCGGTGGTTTTGTTCACAAGGCATGTTGCAAAACTGGTATGGTATGGCATGATTGCATGGCGAACAGAAGCGACAGATCCTAAAATGAAAATCATGACATGCGTGTCATGTAACAACATGACTACATGCCGCACTCAAGATGCGCTTGCGGCCGTGTCATAGTCAAGATGCGCTAGCCTCACATATACCAAATTTGGTATTACAGTACGCGAAGAAATGAGGAAAGTATATGACTGGTGTAAAAATGATGATCATGATATGCGTGTCATGTAGCATGACTACATGCCACGCTCATAATGCGCTGGCAGCCGGTTGCCTAGCTTCACGTATACAAAATTTCGTATTATGGGACGTGAATAGATGACGAAGGCATGTACTGGTGCAAAGAGCTAGATTAACGTGAGAGGCCTGTCATGTAACAACATGACTGCATGCTACACTCTTGATGCGCTGGCGGCCGTCTCGCTAGCTTGACATGTACTAAACTCGGTATTACGCGACGCGAATGGACGTCGTAGGAAAATGACACATCCAAACATGATAATCATGGCATGCGTGCCATGTAACATCACTACATGCCACACGGACGATGCGCTTGCGACCATTTCGCGAGCTTAACATATACGAAATTCGGTATTACGTGACACCAACGGATGACGAAGGTATGTGACTGGTGCAAACATGATAATCATAAGATGCGTGTCATGTGGGAACATGACTACATGTCATAGTCAAGACGCCAATACATTTCGACGTGACGTGGTGCACGTGCTCACCGGCGTGCCACGCCAAGCGCTGGTCCTGCCATATACTCGCAGGCATGCGTCGCGTTGCTTTGACACATGCGCCTTTCAGCGCATCCGGCATCAATCCGTCACAAAAAAGAGAGCACATCAGTGTGAAATGGAGCATGTCGCATTTCGCGCCAGTTGCCGTTGGGCCACGCCGACGAACGCTGGTCGCACTTGGCGTCATAATATAGAGTGCTCGCGTTTTGCTAAATTTGCGTTGCTGTGCCCAGCGTGTGCGCGCGTCAACGCTACACTTGAGTATATAGGGCCCTTCATAATGCGCTCGCAGCCGTTTTGATGGCTTTACATATACGAAATTTGGTATCCCATGACGTGAATAGAGGACGAAGGTGAACAACGCATGGCTGGAACGCTCGTGCTGGAACGCTCGAACACGAAGTAGCTGGTCGTGCTTGCTCTAGGGTTTTGGCCTAAGTTTGTGTAGTGGCTGTGGTTTCTTTGTCTTTATTAGGTGTTCCTATAGTGCTTTTACAGCTAAGTAAGCGCTTTTAGCGCTAGAAAGAGCACTTAGATGCCGTTTTCTTCACCTGGACCAGGGGCTTGCCTCTGGTCTGCTTCAATTCCGCCACAGGAAATACCAGTGGATAAGTTTCTTCGCAAGGGCATTCCCGCAGTACCTGTGGCCCTCGTCCCTAGCAATGACGGCTTCATTCGGATGAAGAATCTGAAAGTGGTCCAGGTGGAGCTTAGAGCTGCGACGTCTCACTTTCACAGCATCACAGGGGTCCGCCAGTTCGGCAGAGGTGGTATCCTATGTTTTTCATCTGATCAGCTCTGTGTCCAAGACCTATTGATGTGCTCGAGTTTCGCGACCAATCCGGTGAGCGCCTTTATTCCCCCGCATCTGGCATGTGT